TTGTCAGTTTAAGACCTATAGCAGCACTTGCTCAAAAAGAATCCTAGAATACATTTTTTGTGTTGTTTTTCCATGTACAACTTTTGACTACCTTAATATTATTTCTTAATTATTTCTAATGCTTTAAAATGTGACTTTCTGAAAAGGTTTTTTTCCACTGTCACTAAAGACAAATATTTAAATCTACTTTCCTTGAAGTAATTTGAAAATGTTATCTCAAATTCAGCAAAGTAGTGTAAAAAATAGGTAAAACCACACATGAAAAAGATAATAATTCTTTTTACAGGATAATGTATCTTATATAACACTGTATTCCATCAAAGAGGAATCTGTAGAAAGAAAAACATATTACATTTACTAAAATGAAACACTTCTATATTTGATAAGGAACATTATTAATTTATACAGGTTAGAGCAACATGGTTGTCAATTTGATTTATTTGTGCATAAAATAGAGAATGGGAGCTATTTTGCTGCTGTTCACAATAAGTAACATTATTATTTTGTGTCTGAATAACTGATGATATATATTATTGTGTAAAAGTTTGCATTTTCAAAAATGCTGTGTCAGATTGTCCATATCTTCTATATAAGCTCAGTTTATGTGATGGAAAATGTGTATGAATGTAGGCAGAGCACTAATAAATATAGGAGCCTGACTGTGTGCTCTAATAACTTCAAGACAATGTGTTCATGTCAGATTAACAACAATAAACATGGAAATTTTGGGAGCTTTTAGCTCAGAACAACACAAAGTCCTGTAATATATATTTATTCTATGGAACACAGGAACTATAAGGAAACTAGATTTCTCTGAGCTGTTTGGTGTTTCCCACCACCATCAATGGGAATAGGATGAAGTTTAGGATTTCCCACTACTAAAACTGACCTGGCAAGGTGAGATTCGCTAATTCTGTAGTCCTGAAGAGCCAGGGGGTCTCTAAGGAAGACCTTCCAAAGATATTGAAAACCTGGGAAAGAAGGTGGGAGGAGGAGTGGGAGGGGTGAGGACTAGGCATACACTAAGTCTCTCTCAGTTCTCAAAAGATTTTAGACCCTAAAATATCCAGGCATGAACACATGCTCTGTCCATCTCCTCTGGAGGAACTGATTCCATCCAGACAGTGTCATCCTCTTCCTTGCTGCTTCATTACAGAACAGAAGTAAACTCCAAAGAGAGTTTGGAGTCACTCAACCAGTGAGTTGACAGATAACGTTTAAGTGAAACCAATGAGCAGATAGACACTGATGCCATCAGGCAGCTTTCTATGGCTTTTAAAGACTTTTACAATTGTTTTACCAAAATATTTTCTTTCACCTTAGCAAAACTACCATATAAAGTGCCATATTAGTGCATAGATAATTAAATAATAATGAAATAATATTATTATTATTATGGAAGTATATGTACAGAGGGGAAAAATGATGGAAACAGATTTAAAGTTGTGATGGACATTCTGTGCATGTATGCATGGTTCTTTTACTGTTGATAGGGAGTGTGCCTGTGTGGTGAAGATTAGCTGAACTAACTTCTGATTTCCTTGCTTTTGTGTTCATATGTGTGCAACAACAGCCACTTCACAATTATTTTTTTGCATATAGCAAAAAGCACAGCAAAATAACAAATCAATCAACTAACCATCTTTTTCTTTAGTCTGTCATTTTCATATCACTTTTGAAATGCTACTCTTTATATGTAATTATCTTCAGCTCATAAAAGAGAAAAAATGTTAATTTTCTTACCAAGAGTATTTCCAATTAAGATTTGACATGAGTTCAAAAGGTCAATATTCTTTGTCCACAGTGAGAGCAAACTGTAATAAGGTCTTTCTGCTTTTGGCAATAGTATAAGTAGCAGAACAAACTTCAGTTTCTTTGTGCCTCACTTTGGCAGGTTATAATAGAAGAAACTAATTGATGATCATGTTTTAATTCAGAGTTTTAATTCATCATTGACTGAAACCTTATTTTTTTCACAAAAAAGAAGGTTCAAATTTTAAAAATTCATTAAGTGAAAGATTTTCCTAATTTACTGATGTACATAGGGAAAAAATTCCTAACTTACTAATGTATGTAAAGTTAAGAAGCTTGATTATTGACTGCATCAAAGAATTAGGAGAAACGTGTTTTTAGGAACATTTAATATTAATGGTAATCTAAAGAGCTGCTAATCTGCTGTCAAAATCTTTTCTGGAGGTTGAATGGTAATTTGTTTTGTTCCAAGTGCTCCTTAGTGTTGCTTTCACAGTAACTATTCAAGTGTTTTAATACACAGATAAATCAATACATTTGATAATTGCTCATATATTGTATGTGTTTATGATGCCAAAGAAGGGCTCTCTAGGCCGCTTTTCTATGAAATTAGATGCTTTTTTACAGAGCTAATACACCGCTATACTTTTGCCTTGCTGTATTCTGATTACAAGAGAAGAGCTTTAGATGAACTATTCACCACGCCTGGGAGTTTTAGGGTGTAAGAACATCTATTTGCAGGCTGTCCAATTTGAATTTGATTGTCAGTTATTAAAGCATAAATATTCAGTGTATTTACTGAACATGCTTTCACTGTGTAGGAAATAATATTACAATACTGTAGCAGTGGAAGAACTCCTAGGAAGGGATATCTGCACTGGTGCAAGGGAATAGAAATGCCTGGAGGCGAGGTCTCCTGTGCTCATGTCTCCTGTGTGCTTCAGTTTGATAACCAAGTTCTGATTTTGAGCGTGTCTCTCCGTACCGTTTGGGAGCTGACAGTGATTAGTCTGTCCATCCTGTCTCATCTCTCTGAGTCATCAGGATTTACTCGCTCTCCTTTGTCCTTTGTCTCCCAGTCTGAGTGTCCTGAGAAGCTTCACAGAGGTGCATTTATATACTCATTAATAAAGTTTGAGTTTAAAAAAAAAAAAAAAATTCAGTATAGTTTCAGTTGAAAAATATTTCCTAAGACCAGAGTCAGGAAGTACAACAATACATTAAAGAATGCCTGGATTAAAGAAGAAAATTAGGGGAGAAAAGAACTATGTTTTGGTTGGGTTGTTTGGTTTTGTTTTTTTTAAAGGCCTAATGCCTCATAAATAATATACAAACCCATGGATCCCTTACATTTTGAAAAAACAACCAACAGGCAAATCCTAACAACTGTAAACCAAAGCAAGCAAATTAATATTCTGTTCTTTTATGTATTTATTTTAATATTTAAAATATGACTTTCTATAACACTTTCAAATTTCTGCTTAATTTTCCTATAAGCTGGTACAAATCAATGGAAGAAAGTAGAATCCAGTAAATAAGAAAATAACTAATGAAGTATTATGCAAGGGTATAAAAGAGGTTAGAGAATATTGATAGATAAGGATGTCTTTCCTTCCAATAGATAAGGACAACCTGTCTTTGCCTTATAAAAACATCTGTCTATTATGGAAGAGCTATCATTCATGAAGTTAAAATAATTTGTTTTAATTTGAAAGATTAGAGTGACTTTCATAGCTGGGAGTTGCCCTTTGTAGAAAAGAACATCTGTAGACTTTCAAGCACATAAAAAAAACCCCAAATTTAATTTTTTGCTTCTTTACACCCAAGAAAGTATTTCAGTCCTGTTCTTCTGAGAAGTTAAATTTCAGGGAGATCTGAGGTACCCAGCACTATGTAGAGTTACACTTACTGCAGAACACAAAGTGTCACACAAATAATTCTGTATGCACGCAGCATTACTTATGGGAAAACAACTGTTTAAATTTATGACCTAATTAATCATTCAAATATACACATGAAAAAGAGACCAGTCTGCAACACCAGTATTCCATTGGTAATAAAATACGAATTCAGTAGTAAAGAATTCTTAAAAAGCATATATTAAGCATAACATGTCATTTTATTGATGTAGATAATGAAAAATGACAGTATGAAAAACTCTTTTTACCTATTAGCTTCAGATTATTTTCTTTAAACGGCAGCACTTGATTCTAAGGTATGAAGTGAAAAGAAAATATTGCTTGCCAATGACTGGTTCTAAGGTATGAAGTGAAAAGGAAGTGAAAAGAAAATATTGCTTGCCAATGACTGTTTAACACTGTATTAGAAGCTGAAGAACACAGACTGTAATTCAGGACTCATAATCTTGTGTCCCAGAAGCTGTAGTACTAACGATTGAAAGCTGTGTCACAGAATAAAAAAAAAGAGGCAGAAAATTGCTTCCACAAAGAATACAATCAGCTACAAATGTAGTCAGTTAGCAAAAAACCTGCAGGTCCTCAATATGCCTCTGGTATCCAACTTCCAGGCTTTGGTGGGCTGTGGGGTTTTTTTTTGGGTAGATTAGTAGTCACATTTTTCTACTTTGAAACAAAATATCTCCTTCACTATTTTCTGAACAGTCCGTAATAGATCGTGAAACTGGCAGGGCATATAACGAAGCTGACTGTAAAAAGTCCTGTAAAATACAGAAAGGTAACAAAAAAAAGAAGAAACATAATTTATTAAACTTTTTTTTTTATATATATGCAATTTATTTTAAAATAGAATCGGTTAAAATGGGAGCTAAAATAGCAGGCCAGGTAAAAAGAATAAATTTACTATCTCTTTAAAGGATGTGATTGGATCTCACTAATCTTAAGTTTGTATGAATCTAGACTAACTGACCTGAAGTCAATGAATATATACTTGTGAAAAAAGTAGTGCAAAATCAGATTATAACCTCAGTGTAATTACCACAGTAATACTGGGAGAACAGATCTAATCGAAGTGACAGAACAGTTATTAGTCTTTGAGACTGCCCTACATAAAGTTCATGACTGCTATAAAGATGAATGTGTAAAATTGTTTTTATAAATAAATTATATTGATATCAACATGACATTTTGAGTTCTTTTCAAGATAATTTATCTCTTGAAGGTTAATCACACTTGTTGCAGTGATCTTCAGATTATTTATACATCAATTTTCTGACATTTCTGTATTTGCCAAGCCAAAAAAATAACTTTACAATTGTGCTTTATTTGCAGCATCTGGCGAGGACCAAATATAAACTGCACAGACAGTTCAGGCTATACTGCTTTACATCATGCAGCTTTAAACGGACACAAGTAAGTGCCTCACATTTAGTTTTTATGTAGAATGGTATTTAAGTGCATAACTTAAAAATACGTAGCACAGCACCAAGATTTTCACAGAAAGTTGACAAACTCCATCTTACTAAAATAATCTTATTTCTTATGGGATATATTAATATAAGAATTTTCAACACTCATTGGTATTAGCATGTTGCCGTTTAGAAGTTTTGATCCTATACTGGTTCTTCCAAATTCTTTGCTTGATTTTGAGTAAATTTATTACTGCTATTGCTAGTGGTGGCTCCAGTGCTTTTTAGCTGGTGGGAAATTACAACAGAAAATTTTGTGGTATACTTGTGTGTGTATGTACAAATGTATAATGCGTTGAATGTTTAAGGAAACAATATTGTGGAACAAAAGGACAGTATAGATTAATCATTATCAAAGTAAAAGTAGGGTGATGATAATATTTTGTAGTTAGACACTTGAAAGCAGAAAAGTTGTATGGGAACTTGTAGCTTTTCCCTCCCTGCTGCCCATCCAAGTTACCACATGCATGTCTCAACAAGCTTGAGGAAAGCCTGCAAAATCCTCCCTGAAGGGTACTGCACAGGCATACCAGTGCAGGTGAACTCTTAAAGGCATTGATGTGTCAGCAAAAAACTGGAACTTCGCTACGTATTTTGTTACTACACCTTGTAATTTGTTCCATGTTGCCTCTGTTATTACATGTTGCCCCTTGCTACACATTACCTCCACTGTATTATGCTGCCAACTACATGTTGTTATTAAGGCAGAACAAGAAAAAAAGATTTTAATGAGGTCTATAAAGTTCCAGTGGGATGGACCCCACTGTAACCAAGGTAAGACCTGCCCCACTTAACGTAGTCCAGCTATCTTGTTTGTAAACTGACAGTGTTAACACTGTCTGGATTTTCACTAAGGAAAATTTTGACCTAAGGCTTTGTATTATTCCTCTGTGGAAGATAAGGAACTGATCAAAACCAACTGAAACTGAGAGTGATTTGCACTAAATTTAATGAGATTTTAGACTGTTCATAAGATAACATATGAATTCATAATAATTATATGTTCAGTTTACTTTTTTCACAATTTTTGCATTCTTCCTTGGAAAAATTAAACCTTTAGGATGTGTCTTTAATTGTATTCTTGAAACCTGCTTATAGGGTATTCTGTTTCTGAATAAATGAATGAAGTTAAACTACTGTTCGATATTGTGCGTTTTCCAAAATTTCAGTTCTGTAGCCAGATTCAGAATCATCCATTAATATATTTTATCTCTATGGAATTAGGTCTAAGTCCTTAATATGGTCTATTAAACTCAGCCTTTTTTAAAAAGGGAGAAAATCACATTCCTCTTGTTTATAGTTTATGGATTGTTTCTTGTGCCATTGCACATTTTTGACTGACAAAAGCCCACGCCTTAGCTTGCAAAGGTTTCTGGTTTTAAATAGACAAAAAAATGGTTGTAGTGTGTTTAATACTGACTATAAAGCAATAGTTACCCAGCAAAGTAAAAACATTGCTGTGTAAACACTGAATATATCAGAGGTTTCAAGTGAATCCTAGCAATATAAACTATAAAATCCCAAAACATACAAAAGCCAAATAGCATCTTCAGACACAGTGTTGGCCAAACTTCTGCTGAAGTCAGAGAGACCTTCAAGATGTGGACTTGGGTACAGCAGCAGATATAACTGCAGCTTTTGAAAAGGTCATAACGGCCGCTGGCTGCTGTGACCCCTTACCCTCACAGCAGGGTCAGTAGCAGTTACCGACATGGCACTTATAGCTTATAGTAAAGTAAACTGAAACCACATCACAAGACATTTCATGATAAATCATGATGGTTCAGGACCTGCTGTCCAAGCTGTGATGCTGATCCTGCTACAGTGGTATAGCACTGTCAGCAAGAGAATTGGACAGACACCTGGTGATTGTAATTCCGTTAGTCACCACAAATAACAAGTGAAAAGCTTTAACTCTGTTTCAGATTTGAAACTTGATATTCAAAGTCAATATTGGGTACAATCTGTTGACAAAAGAGCCTTCCCACTTAGGAAAAGTTCTTGTCCTTTGAAAACTTTGGGGATTTTAATTTTTCACACTTTACATTAGAGTGAACTTGAGAGATTTCAAAGTTTTTCAGGAAAAGTGAGAATGTAAGGCTTAGTGACCCAATCAATAGTTTGTGGCTGGGACACTTGTTGGACACAAGTGTTCAAGTCCCTGCTTGATCGTTGTATGTGATGAATTCACTCCTCCTTGGTTATTCTGGGATAGTTCTTTCCTTTTGAAACTATTCTGCTTTATATAAGTAATTAAGTCATATCTGGGGCAGGGACTTGAATCTCAGTCTCTCTAAGTAATTTTACTTACCCCAGTAATGTTACTGGGCTAAGGACTCTCAGTCTTCACTATGAAATGTATTTCTACAAAATGAAAAGGTTCCGACAGAGCACTAAAAAAGACTCACCCTAGAGAAGTGTGATGGGTCAGGGCATTCATGAAGGATGAAGGAGACCTATTTTCTATTTTGTAGCTTGAATCTTGCGGGAGACTCTTCCCAATAGTTGCTGTATATAATTATCTGTAGATTTCATTTGTGGAGGGTGTTTTTGTTGTTTTCCCCCCACGTATTTCAATTTCTGTTTCCTTTGATTTGTGTCCCTTTCAGACTGCTCTGTATCTCTAGCCTTCATTAGACCATCTACATTAAGACCAACTATTATGATATGAGAAGTCTCTCAAACCTTATTTGTACTAAAAAGTCTTGGGAGTCACTTTTCTGGAAATTTTGGTGTAGCAAAAGTCATTCTGTAGTGGAGCTGCTCTTTCTTGGCTGTTATCATGTTATTTGACCTTGTCAGGAGTAAGCAAAATCCAGCTTGAAGTCTCCCTCAAAGCTTAGATGTGATGACTCCAGTATCTCCCTTTTTAGACAGTTGGGAGTTTCTTTTGACCTGGGTATATTTGCTTTTGTTTGCCACATTTTTCTCTCAATAGGCAATTAAAAAAGGCTCCACCAAGGTTGGGAGAACAATTGCCTTGGGATTTACCTTCTGTCTTCATTTGTAATCAAGGCCTTCATTTATAGTGATAACATAGGCTGCATCGAGCTCCTTCCACACACCCCCACCCCCCCCAATTTTTTGAGCAAAATTGGTAAGGCCTGTCTTCCCATATTCAGCAAACATGTGCATAGAACTACCCACAGTGGATCATAGATGCTATTAACTTAATAACTAATGAGGCCTGACTGCGTCAAACTATGAGAGGAAAAATGGAGAAATAAGACAGAATTGATTTACTTTTTGACACACTTGGTAAGCAATGGTCATACCACTCAGTTAATTTTTAAGTTTAACCTTTGAATTTAAATAAAGGAGACTGCTTAAAAATCAGGGGTGCAATATACCAGCTTATACTAATCCTTCACTTAGTGTATAATAAGCCACACTGAACATACTGAAAGGAACATAACAAGAATTAAAATAATAAAAATAACTTTTTTCCTCACTGCTCAAGGAAGCTGGGTGTAGGAAATGAAAGTAGAAGCAGTTATTCCTATATATAGAAGATAGTATATATCTAACTAGATCATCATTAAATTGTTTCCTCCAAAATAGCTCTTTGAGGTAATGCCTTAAAGAAGAAAACTCATTACTTTCAAGCCTTACTGCAAGAACTGTGTCCATAAAGCTACCCTCTTGCCTCCCTACCTCCAGAACTCAGGGATGATGGGGATAGGAGTACTTCTCTGACTTTAGTGCCTGGAAAGTTTGTCTTGAGGAACATGCACGTGGCCTTGACTGGAAAATTCTAAAAATGATTCCATGGCCAGGTGATCCTGTTGAAGCAAACAGATTCAGAGAACTGATGGTAATATTGTTGATGGGTATTCATAAGAAGTAAGAATCATTACAATGAATAACATTTTTATTATGTTTTACTATCTATTTTATTCTTAGGAATGATTGGTCTTCATTTTTGTAGCAGTTTCACTTGAAATACAGTTTTTTCTCTGTTATTCAGGGTAAAAATTTCGGTAATACTTATGTTAATGTAAAAACTTAATAAAATAAGCTTCCCGTCAATTTTTAGATTTACTTCCTGTTTTCCAGGGATATAGTTCTCAAATTACTTCAGTATGAAGCATCAACTAACGTGGCAGATAATAAAGGTTATTTTCCTATTCACTTGGCTGCTTGGAGAGGAGATGTAGACATTGTGAAGATTCTCATCCATCATGGGCCATCACACTCCAGAGTGAATGAACAGGTGAAGTGATAAACAATATTTGTGTACATCATCAGAAAAGAGCAGCACATATTCTTTAGGTCTGGCAAATTTTTAGTCAAATTAGAAAAAAAAAAACCAACAACTGTTTTCCATTGTTTCAGTAATTTCTTCTCCAAGACTGATAAAATCATCCAATAAAAGCATACCAGTTATCTTTCTTCTGGATACACTGACCTAAAAGAAGTTAGATTTTAAAAGTATGAAAAACCTTCTGCTTGTTTCTGAAAAACTGTATGAAGACATACTCTAACTATGCATCTTATTTATATATTGATGTAAATTTGTATAAACTCTGTGTCTTTTTAACTTTATTAGATATTAAATTCCTGAAAAACTTTGAGATAAAATTCATATTCTTGGTATATTTTGAGTGTACTGTAAATGAACTGATATGCAGAGATAAATGACAAACCAGATGGACTGCAGGTATTCATGTGCAGCAGAAAGGACACATAAATACTTGGAAAAAATGATGAGAGTATTACAATGGGTAAGGGCAGGATAAATATGTTGCATTCTGTTGTCAAACTTATGGCACACCTTCTGTTTTCATTCTGTATATTCTTATATGGTCCATTTGTAGGGTTAGTATTTAGAAATAGAAAGAAAGAAGGCGATTAAAATCTGACACCATCTATAGTCAGCTGTACTGCTTGAGGACTGGAAGTAGTCACCATAAGCTATTGAATTTGCCAGGGTAATCAGGAAGTTACTGGAATGTACAGGTGGAAGTCAGCTCCAGATTCAGATCTAAATTTTAGTGTCTACATTGCCTGTACATGCACCATTTTATTCCACAGAGGTCTAGTCAGTGTAATAACAGGAGCCAACAGGGTTGTTCTGGTGACCAAAAGTAAGGCAGGATTCATTTGCTCAAACACAGAAACTGCAGTAACTGACACATCTGCATTGGCCTGAAGGTATGCTCAGAATTTCCATGCCCTTGTGGAGTGGCTGATGAACACCAGGTGAGGTACCCTACAGCACCTCAAATGGCAAAGTACAATTTAACAAATCAATTGCACTCTCAGTGTCTACCTTAATGTGGCTGGAAGGCAAACTGTGAGAAAATATGAAATGTTAGACCTAAATTGCAAACTCTTAACCAGTGTGAGTTGCCATTCCTTGAATAATCTTTTTTATATTTGAGGTATACACTTAGCCATTGGAATCCATACAAAGTATGAATATCAAGTATTAGTGCAGGAAATATAGGAAAATAAAACAACAGCCATGTGACAGTCTTCCAGGAAATCCTATAATACCCTGGCTCATCCAAGAAAAAATACAAAACCCAAAACTTGTCATTCTGTGGTTTGAGTTGCAGATTAGGAGTTTCTCAGAGTTTCTCATTCTCATAAGCTGTTGCAGGTAGGATGAAACCAGCTGAACTGTAGGATTACCTTTTGTCAAGGAGAAAGGGGTTTTTTTGTTTTATTTCTGCAAGAAAATGAAAAAGCAACTTTCTGATTGCAGGCTATCCATTTGCTTAAGGAGATTCCTCATACTGTACTGATAGAAAACTGGAAGCTATGCAGGAACTTCAAGGCAGGGATAGTGAAAAAGATATTTCAGTAAGATCAGAAAGAGAAATACAAACTCAATCCTACTTCCTCTGAACCCCACATATATGTCCAAATTTCTAGAATATTCTCAAGCTTGATTAGTGTGCTGTCCAGTCTCTGGTTTGATTGCTGGAGCAAATAAGCAGGGATGCTTCTGATTCTATACCCCACTGCCTCAAAAAAGGTCTTGTCATTAGATCTCCTGCTGTTTTATATATTTTTCCCAAAAGCTTTGTAATGGAAAATGTGTCAGCAATCCTCACGAGAAATGTTGGACCTTAAGTCTCTTAAGAGAGTCTTGATCATATTAAACTTTGAAGTTAAACTCATACAATACACGGTTCTGACCTTATAAATCCCCCGGCGTTCCACTCTAGACAGTGGCCAGCTTTAGTAGGTGGACCACTTAGCTGGCACTGACTTTCCTGTTCTAGTTAGCACTCTACACAGGAGAATATTATCCATATAAGGGAATGAGGGAAAAGCCATGTTGATATAAAGCCATCTCCACCCACATATCTTCAAATAACACCAGAGTGGCATCCGCACCCCAACATTGTACATTATTGAATCTGTAGGTTTCTGAGGCTTTTGCTTATTTGCTGATAGGCTGTATAACACATATCTACAGAGCTGAAGCTACAGCTTGTAAGAAATCCTGGGCTATTTTTCTTCCTTCTTTTTTCTTCTGAGAATTGGGGAGATGGGTAGCCATTTTTCCTGACACTTTTTCACTGCAGCAAGAAATATACTCAAGTCAGACTTTTTTTCCTGGATTTTTTTTGTAAGGATCACATTAAGAATGTATGTGCTTTCAGTTTAAGAAAATAATTTTGTTCATTAGTTAAAAATTGTTGCAAGTAATTTGTAATACATCTTTGCTTTTAATCTATTTTATTAAAATTCTATGTAAAATAAATGCTTCTAAAAACTTAAAGTAATGAACAACACAACAAAGAAGTAAATGAGAAGCTTATGATGCATAAATGTCTATTACATGAATTAATGGATTTAATATGGTATACTGTAAATTAATTGAACTGCATTCTACGCATTTAAAATGCAGTTAACTAGCATCATAGGATCATATCCAGCCATATCCAGCATCTAAAGCTCTGAATGCCCCCTACTGTTCCTATTACACAAAATTGAAAAAAAACAGTAAAGAGGCAAACAGTTAAATGACAATTATTTTATAGGGGGGGTGGAATGTAGACTGGCAACTCTACACACAGAAAATGGTTACAGCATAACAATTATGTAAGAGTAATTCTATCACTGTTTGATATAGGTGTCTTAGTTGACATGCATGATGTATGTTTTAAATTACAAAATACGGTGAAATTACAAAACGTGTTTAAATTCATTGATGAAGACTTGAAAATATGTAAATTATAAATTGCATGAAGATCAAGTAGGTAGTATGAGATCAAGATTTGTTAGTACATTAATACCAAATATAATAAAAAGGTGTGCTGCTAGCTGTCAGACTACTTACATGTTTATTTATGTAAAGACATCTGGGTAGCACAAATATTTATTATGGCAACTCTCATAATAAAATGACATAATTGATAAGAAATTCTAATCTGTGAAAAAAATTATAACAAATAACAGCCACATATGGGTCAATATGTAGTGTTTGGTATTAGTGCAGGAAATCACATGCAAAAAAGGTGAATAACATCAGGAATAAATATAAGGTTCAAAATATATTTTTAATATATATTGAAAGAATATGAATAGTAAAACATTTACAGGAAAAAATGTGAACACTTCTGAAATTTCTTGTTGATGTTCACTGTTCTGTGATTCTGTCTGTTTTTCTTCATGCACATAGCATGTCTTTTTCCTTACATTTATGTATTTAATGTGCTGTAGCCTTTTAGTGCATTGAACTGTAATTGTCATAAACCCCACTCACATTTCTTTAATGCTGCTTGACACTTCTTCTGAAATGTAAAGAGTTCAGGATGTGTTCATAATATGTAAATACCTAACATCTAACATATTTACTGTCTTCCCCAAGTCATCAAAATGAAGCACAGACATTATATGCTTCTTTCAGTGACACCTCTGAGACTTCCAGAAGTACAATTCAGTTCCAAATTAGCCTGCAAAACCAATCATTTTCATGTTCTGCATTTGATGTCCCCTCCCTCCCCTTAAATTAGAGACTATTTGGATGAATTTCCAAATTTCCCTTGCAACTCTTTTTATACCCTTTTTAGAAGAAAAAAATGAGCAGAGGTAATCTTTTTTTATTTGAGCCAATTGCAGCAATAAATGTGAAGAAAACATTTATTCAAAGTAGTCAACCAAATTACAGAATTACTTTTTTATTTTGTTTCCATGTAAGTGAAGGTCGATTTCAATGGGAATTCAGTAGGTTTGGTTTTTATTCACAGTGAGTAATTTTCAGCAGAATTTTTCCCAATAACTTTTACAAAAATTGTCTTTTTGAAAAAATACTATCTTAATAAAAGTATTTTCTAATTTATGGGACAATGCCTTCTTTATTTGTCTTCATATTGTTCTTATATGGTAAAGATATTCATTAGAACATGTTCATAGAATCATAGAAGGGTTTGGGTCAAAAGGGACCTTCAAAGATCATCTAGTCCAACACCCTTGCCATGGACAGGGACATCTTTTACTACATCAGGTTGCTCAAAGTCCTGCCCAACCTGACCTTGAACACTTCCAATGACGGAGCACAATTTCCACAATTTCTCCGGGCAACCTGTTCCAAAGTCTCACCACCTTCATCGTAAAAAATTTCTTCCTAATAGCTAATCTAAATCTACCCTCTTTCAGTTTAAAACCATTGCCCCTTGTCCTGTCACTACAGGACCTGATAAAAAGTCTTTGTCTTTCTTACAAGCCCCCTTTCTATATTGAAAGGCTGCAATAAGGTCTCCCAAGAGCCTTTCCTTCTCCAGGCCGAATGACCCCAATTTTCTCAGTTGTTCTTCATAGGAGAGGTGTTCCAGACCTCTGATAATTTTCGTGGCCCTCCCCTGGACATGCTCTAACAGATTCTTCTTCTCCTTGTGCTGGGGGCTCCAGAGCTGGATGCAGTGCTCCAGGTGGGGTCTCACAAGAGCAGAGCAGAGGGGCAGAATCCCCTCCCTTGACCTGCTGGCCAGATTTCTTTTGATGCAGCCCAGGATATATTTGGCTTTCTGGGCTGCAGGTACACATTGCTGGCTCATACCCAATTTTTCATCCATCAGTATCCTGATGAAAGTCCTTCTCTGCAGGGCTGCTCCTAATAATTTCATTACTGAGTCTGTATTGATATTGGGGATTGCGCTGACCCAGGTGCAGGACTTTGCATCTGGCCTTGTTGAACTTCCTGAGGTTCACACGGGCCCATTTTGCTAGCCTGTCAATGTCCCTCTGAATGGCATC